AGAGAGAGAGAGAGACATTGCAATGCTGTACTCTGACTTCATTTTTCTCCATTACATCATCATAACCTACATGCAGGCTAGTTTAGCAGAAATGCAATTATTAAGCAATAAAGCCGTGTCGATAACCTGTGATAAAGACTACTTATCAGTGCAAGTCAAAGCAAGTGACACTGCTGGAGAATCATCTGTCAGTGCTGAATGTCAAATACACACTCATGTCCTGAAGGAACCATATTATAGCTTATTATCATTCATTTTTCTTTCAATAGGGATTTCAGAAATTAAGGGGTATCTAAGGTCAATAAATAAAAATGTATTTCTATTTTAAATTTTCATAAGTTCTATCTCACTTCTAATAACCATATTGATCTAGAAGTTTATAAACGTATTTATTGAAGAAGCCCATTGGATGTTACTTCTCAATGCACTGACACAAGTCACAGCTGCCTACCTTCTGAACCAGAACTCAATGTCTGAACAATGTAACAGCATCAGTGCTTGCCGGAAGCAATGCATTATAGGCTATGTAGTCTCGAGAAATCGAGTTTGCATCACATCAAGCAGCAGGGATAGAGAAGTTGTTGAAACTGATGGGCAGACGGAAGGCAGCACTCACTACATAAAATGGATTTTTTCAAGTAAGCTTTGATTGCATTTGCCATTATCAAAAACAAACCTAGTATGTATTCCTATTACAATGCTAATATTAGGATACTACATGCTGGGACTTTACAACTGCTTTAATGTATAATCCCCATTACCTAAAAGCCAATGTCTGCCTTCTTAGGGGCCCTTCATGACTATGGGCTTACGTTGCTTGAGCCAACATTTGTTGTGTTGCCTGTGACAATCCATTTCCAAAGGCTCTAACAAAATGATAACACCTGTAGCTAAAAATGTACATGATCTCCTTTTTAAACAGAATCAAGCATTTTAGCCCCATAGACTTTTAAAGGAGTAGAGCTGCAGCAGACGATTATTTTCAAAATCGATTAGTTAGCCGATTATTACGTTCGATTAATCGTTTAATCGGATAAAAAAATAAAATACATTTTAAAAAATGGCTCCAGTGATGGGACTACTAGTTTGTATTGAGATTGCAGTCCATCACAGGAGCAAGCTTGGAGCGGTGGAAGTAAAAAAGAAAAAACAAAAAAAAGTGTGGTGTGCAATATAGTGAAATGTAAAATTATACAGCAATGATGAAGACTGGCACCGGCTATAGAGGACTGCAAATCCCAGCAATAGTACATTATACAGCACAATGCAGAATACTACCAGCTATAGAGGAATACAACAAAACCCAGCAATAGTACAGTATAGCTGGCGGTATTCTGCATTGCCCTGTATAATGTATTATTGCTTGGATTTGTTGTACTCCTCTATAGCTGGTGGTATTCCACTTTATAATGTATTATTGCTGGGATTTGTAGTCCTCTATACAATACAGAATACCACAAGCTATAGAGGAATACAACAAATCTCAGCAATACATTATACATACAGTGTATAATGTATTGCTGGGATTTGTATTCCTCTATAGCTGATGGTACATTGCTCTGTATAATATAGCGAGCGTGAGGTGGGGAGGAGGTGTGGCGCGCAGCGTGTGTGGAGCCGTGAACAGGGCCAACCAATAAGAAGCCGATTAATCGATGATTGAAAAAGTTGACAACTTTTTCAATAATTGATTATAATCGATTATGTCCATTAGTTGTTGCAGCCCTAAATAGGAGTGTCCAAAAAACACATTTAAAATGGAACATTCAACAAGATATGTGCAGCATTTTCATAACATCATTACTGGGGCTGCAGTTGGAATCAAGGTGGTAGAAAGAAAGGAAGCCTTCTACACCAATGCTCCCCAATGTGGGGGGGGGGAGATGGTTTTGGGATGTTTCAAGCACATTTTTTGTGTACAATGTAATATATAATGAAATCATTATACAACTCACCATAATGCAGAATCAGTGGGAGCCCTGAACTTGTTTTCCTGCTCTCATTTGGACAGTGTGAGCTCTCAGGTGGTCAGTGGGGCTCTCAGGTGACCAGGGCAGGCAGACCTGGAGCGAGAGCTGCAGCCCAGTTCTTAACAGGCCATGGGCCGGTACCGGCCGCGGCCCGGGGGTAGGGGATCCCTGTTCTACACAGTGAGGTGGTTACGTTTGTTTTTAACAAAGATAATTCATTCCCCATTTACAGGTTGCTCCCACTGGTGTTTGTACCTCACCTTCCAGGCGTTCCCCTGCAACTCCATTTAAAAAAAATACTCTCCTCTTCATCCCACAATGCAGCTCTAAGAGCCTGGGCTCATTGTCAAGACAGAACACTGTCTGCAGGGCAGGAATGGGGAGTCCTTAGCCCTGAGTATTCATTTTAAAGCAAACATCCCACCAACTACGCAGAGGAATTATTACTTGCTTTTTAGATTTCCCCTCATTTCCTGTCTCCATGACACCCGTACAAGAAATAGTGGATGCAATTTTATCCAAGGCATACAGCAATGAAAACATTGTTAGAAGTTCTAACCCTTCCTCACGCTACTGAAAATGTGTTGTTGATTTTGTCTGTGTTCCACTTGTACAGGACGCCAGGAATGGGTCCTGGATGGACGGTATATCCCTCCCTTGTTTAGGTGGTTTTATTCCCGTTAAAGTCACCTTGTATTCAGAGCCTCCATCCCCTCACTTTAAACGCTTTTACGGCTCATCAGTTTAGTGTTAACAGTGAATGATGGGCCTAGAATTATTGTTCTCACTCCGACGCTCCCGACGATATGCAACTGTGTAGCACAAATTTTGTTTTTGCACGTAGGCGCATCCGACGTATGTGTGCGTTGTATGTGCGTGCACGTGGGGGTGGGTTTTTTACACTCTTCGATCCGGCACCTGTACAGACGCCGGATCGCTTGTATTTAAACGTCAATTGTCTGCTGTTTAAAGACCCAGATTAAAGTTTCCTGAAGAGAAGAGGCAGTATACTCACCTCTTCAGCAGTCCATGTCTCCTACCTCCCATCCATTCCCATAGTGCAGCCTCCATCAGTGTCTTCAGCATCCAGTACTCCCGGTAGTGGCAGGTGCCTGTGTTCACCGACCCACACCGTGGTTCCATCCGCTGACCCCTATGCCACTATGGGACTCAGTCCTGGAAAGATGATGTTGACAGAGCCACTTTAATCACTAGTGGTTTTAGCAGCATGACTGAACTACTAAAAATCTCCTGTGTAGCTCCAACCTAATGAGAGGATTGTCAGCATGTGGTTAAGGCCCTATTCGCATTGGGGGTTCTGGGATTCATGTGGCCGAAATGACAGGTGTCTCTTTCATGTGTGGCTGCTGTACCCATTGAAGTAAATGACTGGGTGACAGCGGCCACATCTGTCAGCAGTCTGCATGTAATCATATCATGTATGCCTACATAGCTCCCAACTGTCCTTTGTTTGGATGCCCTGCCCCTCTTTACCAACCAGATCCCTTATTCCTCCTCAAAGGAATCTGATTAAAATGTATGCATACTAGGGCTGCAACCAACTAATCAACAAAACAAAAAAACACACACACACAAAAAAAAAAAAAAAATCGATGAGAATAGTTGTCAACTATTCTCATTATCGATTAGTTGGTTGGATCCCCTAGGTCTCTCTTCCACGCTGGGTGGAGGGCACAGCAAGCAGTAGACAGGTGCAATAGCCAGCCTGCTATTGGCAATTGCAATTGAAATGGCTATTTTTTATCCGTTTGATTATCGATTAATTTTATCGATTATGAAAATAATCATTAATTGCAGCCCTAATGCATGCTGCGTTTTAACACAACTCACTGCAACTGTGGCGTGAACAAGGCACATAGAAAATCATTGTTCTTCTTCATGTGGCCTTGCAGTAACCCAGTGCAGAAAAACACCAGTCACTGCACATGGTGTGAACCGTAAGTCCTTACGGTGCATTTTTGTGTGTTACCATATAGCACGGTTATAATGCATTGGGGAAAAGCGGCAGTTAGGGCTCAACCACACCACAAAGCACATATAAATGCACATAAACACAAGTTGACATGCATCTTTTAACATCTTGCACTGTGCTTTACTGTGAGTTGAAGTGCATTTTAAAATGCTTTTATTTCTATACAGATGTGTTTTGATAGGTTCGTTGATGTTTTTGTGCACTGCCTAAAAATGCAGCATGCCTAAATTTTCACCTCAAAACAAACACCAACATGGTGTGAACAGGGCACACAGAGAACAATTGTTTTTAGAGCTTGTTCACACTATATGCGGTGACATGTTTGCAGCAACTGAAAAACGCCAGTCACTACTAGGGCACTTAGAAACAACTGTACCCCATTCACACTACAACACGGGTGAGATGTGCGGTACATGGTGAAAAAATGCAGACATGCTTTTATTTTTAAAGCGTAATGTATCGCAGTGCAGTTCGCCATGCTGATGGTCAGGGACCTGACTGGGCTGTACACTTTATACACTACAAATAAAGTTGGAAAAAAAAGTGTTTTGTTGTTCCCTCGACCACACCTGTCTCAACACACTAGACCACCTGCTAAAACTGAGCATTTTAGCAGGCAGTCCCGTGTGAAGGAGCTCTTGTCTCTGCACTGATCCTACAATAATCCCTGCCACTCAATGCACCTAGTTTAAAGGCGCTTTTAGCCTTTACCTAACTTATAACTGGTACAAGAAGAAAATACACATTCATTAAGGATAGAAACAACCTATTTTATGCTGTACAGTGTGGCAGGCATGGGAAATGATGATTACACTGCCTGCCTGGCCGTATAAAGCAGAAGGCGATGTACTGTGAATTACTGATCACCAGTGTACACGGTGTCACAACAACAGGGTCACTAGCTGATCAGGGTGTACAGTATCCCCATAGTAACCAGCATGGCCTGTAGGCCTCCAGCGCACAGCGGGTTAAATTCGCACCCTGTGCAGGAAGCACTTTCCCTGTGAGGCGGTCGGGAGCGCGCACGCTGTACTCACGCATTGCGAGCTGGTGGAGGGTTGGGAGGCAAACAAAGTGCAGTTATCCGCCATAGCGCTTCGGTCTCGTCATCACACAGCGCTACCCTCCTACAAGATAACACCCACTCTTTTTATCGTCACTGCCTTTCTCTTAACAGGCGGGTGACCGAGTAAGTCCCGGTGAGCATGCGCAGAGCGGCTTCACTGTAAGCCAATGTGGCGGGATTTGTGACACGTGTTTTCCTATGAGCAGCTGCGAAATACGATACTACTTACTGTACTGGAGACCTCTAGTTCTACATGCAGCGCTGTGTTACTATTATAAAACGTCATTAATTTTACGTAAATTGAAAGCCTATTTCTGGGGGGGACTCAGCTTGCAGTGGGGCTATTCCTGCACTGTGAGGGTTAACTAATTGAGGGTAAAGGGGAAAACTGCTAGGAGGTAAGGATTTGTGGCAAAGTGTCCTCTGTCCCAAAAAATTGCTCAGCACATGAATCGGCCACCTACCATGGAGCATGTCCTGTGTGTAGGATTTATATAATCAGTGGCCATCCAATGGCTGAAGAGGACGAGAACAAGGAAGTGTCACCGATGGCAACAGGGACAGTGATGGGCTCTGGCGTGTTTGTAGCTCCACGTACCGAGCCCGCCAGGAAGCTGGCAGCGCCAATTACAGGCACTGAGACATATCCCGATCTCTGCAGTTGCGGGTAAATTTTTATGTTGCACGATATTAGCGCAACTCCTTATCAAACCCCAAAATGTAATGCACAATGTACTTAAATGCCCCAAAACACAATACAATACCAATTTTGTTAATAAAATATGAGGTTACAACGAGTAAATAGATACCCAACATGCCCAGGTTAAAAATTGTGTGCGTCCGTGAAACGGCGACAAACTTCAGTACCCAAAAAGTTAATAGACGCTTTAAAAGCCCCCACAGGTCAACAATTTAGAGATACCCCAAAATACTGGCTGTAGAATTATTGCTCTCCTTCGTGCGCGGCGATACCAAACATGTGTAGCGCAGTCGTCATTTTTGCATGTATGCGCACCCGACGCATGTTTACGGGGCGGGGGACTTCTTTTTAGATTTATTTTATGTAATGTTAATTTTGAAAATTATAATTTTTTTTAACTTTAATTGCTATCACATAGGGGGGCTTACAGGCCCCCCATGTGAAAGCAGATGGTGGTGACAGGTACTCCTTAAGGTGATGCTGGGGGTCCAAAAGATCCCCAGTGTCACCTTTAGGCCCCGTTCACATATGGCGACTTGTCGCCGCGATATCACGCATTTTTGCCGCGCGATATCGCGAGAAGTCGCCGGCCAATGCTATTCAATGGAGCTGTCTTAACTCCATGTCGCAAGTCGCTTCTACCGGACCCTTTTTCCGGTGGATTTTGCGCGATTTCGCTTTTTTTCTATGGAGCCCGACGGAGAAGGTCGCGCTACCGTCGCTGGAACGTCGCCCCGAAAGTCGCGGTATCCCGGGCCGCTGCAAAGGTATGTCGCTATATGTGAACGGGGCCTTACACTACAAATAAGCTATATTGAAGTGCATATCGCGCTTCAATAGCTTATAGCTGATGCAATCTGCATCCCTCCCGGACTCATAGAACAGGGAGGGGATCGACGAACAGACTTTCATCCATCTCCTCCCCAGCTCCCCGCCGACAGCAGAGAAGCTCCAGTAGGAGGGGCAACGGAGCCCGGGAAGCACGACGGCGGACCCCTTCACCGGGCTGTAGAAGCGATCTGGTGACAGCTGAGTCGCCAGAATCACTTCTATTGTAAAGCCGACAGTCGGCTTTACAAGTTTAAACAGAGTCCTGGGAGTCTGTTTAAACAGCCCCGATGCCAGCGACGTACACTGTACGTTGTTGGTCGTGAAGGGGTTAATGCCTAAATGACCCATGTAAAGAATTCCTATTTACCGGATCCCAGGCAGCTGGTACACTCCTCATCTATATGCTCCAGCTTGTGGCCTGCCCCTTGGCATTCTCTCTTATAATGCATGGGTGGGCAACTCCGACCCTCTAGCTGTACTTTAACTACAAATCCCATTGTAGTTTTGCCAATGTTTTGTCACGCGTCCGATCACTGTGGGCGGGGGAGCGTGGCTGCAGTGACATTGACTTCAAAGCACTGCCACGCCCACTCCTGTCCCAGAACGAATGGGGGGGAACATCAGTTCCTGACCAAGTGCTTTCTTGGCTAAATGAGCACAAATTCCCTTCCCAAAATCTTGTCTCCCCACATCTATGCCTAACCAAGTGCAGCTTTAGAAGTGGCATATTTCTGCCAGTAAAGCATACACTGCCCCTTCTAATCTCAGAAGCAAGTCATTATGCCCTTATTTGACTTTTTTGTGTAAATGGGTTTTGCATTGCTAAATAGTATATCCCATAGCTGGGAAAGCAGATAGTTTACAGTTAGTAGGTGAGTCTGCTGTCTGTTTGCGCATTGCTATATATGCTCCATAGTTAGGAACTCAGATAGTTTACAGTGTGGCCAGTACTGCTAGGGGGCGCTTAATCTGTTCCATCCAAAAAAGACAGGATGGAGGTTAGGAAACTGCAAGCATTTTGTGGGACAGGCCTCACTCCTTGGAATAATGGTCTACAGATTTGCAAACAGTATAAATGCTTATTTGTAAGATCTGATTACTTTAGGGTTGTGGAATGGTGTTAAGGGACAGCGTAGGATATCTCTTTAATGCCAGACCAGAGTGTTCCTGGGATACCAATTTGACTTGGTGGCTCGAAATATTTCTGTACCAGAAGAAAATCTAAAATCCTAAAGGTAACCCAACAAGTTTCTGCATCAGTGGTCAACCTCCGAGAAATAAAGAAACTCATAGATCTTATGACTGCCTCAGTCCCAGCATTAAGTTGGGCCCAACTGTACTCGAGAGCCCTGCAAAGGTTCCTTTTTTCAATATAGAATCTGAAAAAGGATTCAGTAAAACTTGATGGTTCTTTTTACTCCAGAAGTCCACCAGACATTAACCTGAATCTTTAAAACTGGCAGAGGACAGATGTTGGGCGCAGGTCCCTTTGATGGGGAGCCCACATCCAAAGTCATCAAGTCCAGGGTACTTGGACTCGGGATTTGATGCAAGCCTCTGCGAGAACTGATAACATCAAAGGAAGAGTTGTTAGCATTTCAGGAGGTTATCAAGAATTACAAGGTCTTCAGCTTTGTGGTCCTTCTATTCATCAATATTTCCAGAATCTTTTTTGGAGACGTTCAAGGGGGTGTTTCATTTACAACAATTAAAACCATTGTTATCCTCTTCTTTGTTCCCAGTCATAGCTACTAAAGTTTTATCTTTACTTTTCTTTGAATTTCGTTTGAGTAAGATCAAAAAAAAAAAATTGAGCTTACTTTTTACATTTTTTGCCAGAGTTTTTTTTTACCTTGTCATGTACTTACATCTGTTGCTGTAAAAAAAATTCACAAAGCATTATTATTATTATTAAAATAAATAATAATAATTATTATTATATACCAAGCATACATGTATATAGGATTATAAATCAATGTACTGTATGTTTTGCATTTTTGGTTGCCATTCATTGGTTTTGGTAAATTTATGCTAATTGTTTTCTGTTGCATAACAATTGACTAGTGGTTCTTTGCAGTAAGGTTTGTTTGAAAGGTTAGTGGCTTTAGGCAATCTATGCAAGCAGCTTTTCCAAAGACTATGCATGGGGACTTGAAATCATGTGTCTGGAGATTGTTATCTTTTGTCTATGGTTGCCTAAGGCCCCCTTCACATGGCCTGTATGATCAGATAGGCCTGTCAGTTTTTAGGCATATTATTATTATTATACAGGATTTATATAGCGCCAACAGTTTGTGCAGTGCTTATCTAATCGGAAAACAAAGTGACCCTATGGGCAACCGGATCTAACGGACTTGTGTCTGTTTTCAGGGGCCTGAAGCAGAAGCTGAAGTTCTCTATCAGGTCCCCCCATGCTGATTGACAGCAGACAGTGGGCGGGTGCAATGGCCAGCTTGCTATTGGCTATTGCATTTTACAATATCCAAAAGCAGGCTGAGTATGGCTCCCAGCCTGCAATGAAGAGTAGGCAGGGGGGCGGGGCAGAGGAGCCGCGGCCGGACCAGGAGACCGGAGGATCGTTCGGACCATGGAAGCCGACGGAACGGCTGAAGAGGAAGCCTGCACATCAGCGGAGGTACGTGGGGCATCGGCAGTATGCAGCGATCTGTGTCACCGCTGCCTACGCCAACACAGGCGTGGAGAGCAGCGGGGATTTGAAAGGACACAGGCCGCTGCAGCCACAGTTCTTCTAAATGTACCGGCGGCTGCCGGTACATTTAGGAGAACTGTGGACCCCGTTCGTAAGTACTGATTGTCCGTAAGTCGGACGTCCGTAACCCGGGGACTGCCTGTATTGTATTAAAGTACAGGAAAGAAAGAAAGAAAGAAGACAATACAACAGCAATACTTCCAAAGCACATGTACTAATAAGATCTCATCTGGAATATGCAGTTCACTTCTGGGCACCGGTTCACAAAAAGGATGTTGTGGAACTGGAGAAAGTGCAGAGAAGGGCAACTAAATTGTGATCCTTTGTGTTCCGGGCACAGGGCAATACGATGAGCGCACGGGCTGGTGCAAACGAGCCTTAAGACTGAGATTTCTATACACTGTTCAGTACAAAGCATACATTAGATCAGTGGTTCTCAACCAGGACCCAGATTTTTTCCTCGGTCATTAAGTCGCACTGCAATTGAACGCACGGCAGTGTGGGCCGCTGTGATGGAGCTCCATTCATATGTGCATTGCTTGTACAGCTCCCATGCGCCGCTCCCTGTAGAGGTTCAGAGAGCTAGAATGTGACGTTACTCCAGTCCAGGCACCTCTACAGGACATGCGAGGAAGCTGTAAGCAATGCAAGTATTGATGGAGCTCCATCGCTGCCATACCCCCAGCCCACCCCACCTCAAGGTGACACTCAGCGCCGAGCAGCATATTTTGAATGGGTTATCAGTGTGAGAACGGACAATGCTGCTCTAATGAGAGGCTGAGGAACTTCTCACCTGGAAAAGTGGAAGGCATGCGGCGACCCACTGAACACGAGGTCATGACCCCCCAGTTGAGAACCTAGGCATTACATGG